TAAGAAGTTTCAAACTTTCTATTACATATCCGTTGCAACTAGTATTTGGGTGTTTTTGCTTGAGCTGTACGAGATGAAAGTCTTGTCCTTGTCAGTGCATTAAATTTAGAACGTCAAAATTTTCAATATTGTTTGTTGTTCTCACATTTCTCATATCAGTTTTATATTACTTGATTATGTTTGTACATTAATGAGTATCATTATGCCAATCTTGAGTGCATGCACTCAGATCAAACTAGGAAAAAAACATAAATTTTATACAGCAAAAATTGAAATGGGCTGGAGAGCTCAAGCTAACCATCTTAAATCCGCCATTGTGGATATCGGTATATGTGACAACAACTTGAGGGAATTAACCCAAAGTTGTGAGTACGTTTAGGGTTAAATTCATCAATGTTTATCCAACTTTATACTTAGTATCAACATGATCATTTAATTTGATTTTGTTTCGTTATGGCTACATAATTTTATACTTAGTATCTTTATGGCCACCCAATTTGATTTTATTTTATTATGGCCACCTAATTTCATATAACGTTTCACAATAATCACCCAAATTCATTTAATCATTTTCACTAATTTTAAAATATGTAAATAGTAACTTTGCTTATATATATACACACACACACACACACACACCATTTTTAAATTTAGTGAAAATAATGAGAAGAAGTTTAGTGGTCATGGTGAAATAAAATCAAATTAGGTGATCATGGTGACAGTAAATATAAAGTTGGGTGGCCATAATGACACTAATTATAATTTTGGTGGCCATTAGTGAATTTAACCCGTACTTTTATTTTGAAGATGAAAAACTTTCTTTAATGTTTTAGTCATTGTACTTGGCTCTCTCATAAGAGGTTTATATATACTACTTAATTATATTTGTACTTAAATGTGAAGTTAACACTTTCGTTTCAAGTACGATTCTGATTGATGACTTACTCAAACATAAAAATATATTTACCATTAGTAAGGTAAAAAGTCGAGTAATCTCAAATGATTTGAAAGTCGTTTAACATTAGAGATTTTGAACAAACCTTACCAAAGTCATTCCTTCACTATCAGTACGGCTCTGCAAGTTTGATTGAATATAGAAAGGACCATGCTATTTGTACTTGGGCATTTACACGCCTGGTTACCCGGCCCCACCTCGTCCCTCACATGGGGGTCGGGTCCCACGCATGGGCCCTGACGTAGGACCTCGCCCCATGTGAGGGGGGCGATGAGGCCGTGTAACCAGACGTGTAAACGTTCGGGTACAAACGGCATTACTCATATAGAAAACCTTCTGAAAAGATTAAAAAAGTGCCTAAAACGAAATAGTGATTTATTTTCAAACAGACTTTATTATAGCTAGGTACTCTTGAGTGAAAATTGATTTAAAGTTGTGTTGCCATTTGTGGATTAAGGTCGGAGGGGAGGAAATGGGTTGGTGAATGCAGAAGATATTTGTTATTATTCATTTTCAACTACATGCAGCGAACAAGAACAAAGTCTTATGTTATAAATATAGTTCTGGTCTACTTGAGAGTTTTTCGTGACACCAATAAATCACAATCTTTTGTTGTACTAAATAATAAGTTAAACTTCTTTTAAATCACTTCTTTCGTCGATAATTTTTAAGTTACTTTTTTAATTATGAAACTTGCTTTTTTTAAAAGGTAAGAACTTATTACTTTTTAGAAGAATAATTTTTAAGCACGTTCAAATATGCTTATGTGATATATTTTTTTGCTAAGATTTATATTTAGCGTTACTAATTAGAATTTATTAACTCAAGAATTCTCTTGTCAAAGTATGGAAAAACTGCAATGTCGTCGAAAAGATTGGATTATAGTAATATTTATATTATTTTTGCCTATGATTATTCTATCTAGTTTTTCTATTTTATCTAATTCATTTTAGGTGGTGTGTTTTTATTAATGACAGAAATAAAATATTATACAATAAAATAAACATAAAGCTACCCTCATAGACGAAGAGTGCAAAGAATAGTTTACTAACTACACCTCATGCGCCCTATCAAGTTACTAAACCTTAATTATGCTTTATTTATGTTGATTTGAAACATTTTCAAGAAATGCTATTTCTACTTTGTTCAAGTCGCTTGAGAATTGAGACATGAGCGGATCCAGGATTTTTGTTAGGACGAACTGAAATGTAAAAAAATAAAAAATGAATTGAGACATGAGCGGATCCAGGATTTTTGTTAGGACGAACTGAAATGTAAAAAAATAAAAAATCAATGTAGTAAAATATATGTATAACATAAGCCAACAATACAACAACAATTCAATAACTTTATTTTAAATATAAGTATTATCAACAGTAATTAGAAAAATAAATGGAAAAAATAGGGATGTGGTGGCAAATGAAGTACTTATTAATTATGTAGTAATATGAAATTTATTATGCAATTCGAGCAATTGACAACTTTATGCAGGAAGCATGAATCTAAATATTAGCAAAAAAATGAAGGCTTTAAAATGTCAAACGAGGAATAAAATGTAAATGATTAAGAAAGTAGCAACATTATAAAATTTTAAATGATAAAGAGTTAAAAATTTTAAAAGTTCCTGATTTCGATTTTTTATTATTATTATTATTATTATTATTATTATTATTATTATTATTATTATTATTATATCCAATAATTTGAAAAACTAAAAAAGACAACCGTTTTTCTAAATCAATCAACTCCAAAGAAAAACAAGAATTCTACTTTTCTTACATCTCCAACCTATTAATGATCATAATCACATTTTGTATCTATGTCAATATTATTCATCCTTGATAAATCGATTGTCAAAATATTATTCCAGATAATTTATAACTTTTTTCAGTATTATTTTCCTATTAATTTGATTGTGTAATCATACAAATACAATGATTTTCTTTGTATTTTTCAACCCAACAAATTAATATTTAAACACAATAATTAACCCATTCACCACTATACAATCAATACTTAAAAAGGGCCAAAATCATTAAATAAACAAAAACGTACAAAAGAAAACTTGATTAAAAATGGATATGGACTGGGATTGGACCGGGATGTAGCCCTATCCGATTTCCCTACATTCGCCACTGCTTGAAATCTTCGAAAATAAGTCCCCTAATATAAAGTCAATATCAAGAAAAGTGACTGGTATATTGAAATCTCATAAGAATTCGTTGTGTACATCACAGTGATGTCCATGGTACACCATCAACTTCCACCATTACAGTTTCCACCACCAATGTCACTTCCACCGCCGTTGGCACGCTACCACCCCCATGGACAAACATTTATCACCATCCCAACCTTCATTCTTGCAAGCAGTGGAGTAGCCAGAGTTTTAAGTTTGGGGCCAGGCCAAAAAATAGGTTGATAGAATTATGTAAAAAGGATAAACTATGCAAATGGTACTAAATGTTGGGATTAAAAAGTTCATGTTAATTGTTGAGGATGTATTTGCTATAGATATTGAAGTTGAAAAGATAAGTATTAATTTGAAATTCAAAACCTAAATCCTTAGTACAACCACGAAACAGATTAATTAAGGCATAAATGTCTAGGACATTCCTACCCTAAAATTGGAAAAGCTTGTTGACCATCGTCTTCTGAAGAAATTTCAGAAAATTAGATGCCTGGATTATGACAACTGAATTTATTTTATTGTGAGATTGAGTTTATGAGGGATCGGTCTAAAAAAAAACAACGTTTAATTTAACATATCTTAGAACTGAATTGAAGTTTTGAAAGTAAACCCACATGTAAAGTACATAGTCTCGCTTTCAGTCATTAATATTAAAATTACAACAATGCCATGTGTACAGAGAATTTTTACATAAATGACAGAATGCCACTTGACAATATTTTACTGGGTGTTGGGTAGGAAAAAAAATAGCTATACAGGTACTGTCAGCGCAGCACCTATAAAGCTGTCCAAACGGAAATTCTATACAAGCAGATTAATCCTTAAAATTATCATTCCATCGTAGAGATCCAACTCTTTGTTAATGACTTATTTGGTAAAGTAGATTGACTTTAAGAAGGAAAACCAAAACTAAAACCTTGTTTATTGTACCTTCCGAGCCGTGTACTGTGTACCAAACGTGCCAAGAGTTTCACGAAGAATGCTTTCAAGTCTAAACTGAATTGGCCTTGTTAGACCTCTTTTTCCTACTCTTTCTAGTATTGAGTTTTTTGCTGCTGCCTCTGTTGCTGTCATTTCCAGCGCCACACACAATCGTAAACTCAATCCCATAAGCATTTCCAAAGCAAGAAAACAAGCCTCCATCTGAATTCCTCCTGGAGTGCCCTCCACAAAAAGCTGATCGAGGCTTATATTCATACCTTTTTGATCCCTCATTCAGCCACCTTTCTCTACTTGAAGTAAACTTAAACCCTTTTGCAGCAGCTTCTTCAAATGTCAATTCTTCCAAGATCGAGCTTTCTGTATCTTGAATTTCTGCAGTTTTATACGGTTTCTTTATGGGCTTTGATGGTGGAGCCGCCTGTTGTGGTGGTTCGGATTTCTTGGCTAATTCCGCAGCTACAACTGATGCTGAAGGGCCAATATCTGAACATAATTCTGAACCATTTACCATTGAACTATTGCATGCTGATTCACCGACAAGTGATCCATTACATATAGAGCCTGGTTTTATTGGAAATTCCCCATTATTAGACTCGGAATCTTCACCCAAAGAACGCCAAAATTGAATTTTCGCGTTCAAATCACTGTCTTCTTCCTCTTCATCGCCATTCTTCTGTTGCAGATCATTCGGATTGTTCATTTCTTTCTGTATTCCATCTGGAGAATCCTCAGCGCGGGAATTTACTTGGCTTAATGGCATACTTTTCATGCTGCTGTCGAGAAGAGAAACGCCCACGTTGAGTATGCCTTGTGGGTTACCTGTGAAAAGAATCCAGTTTAAAATCGTGCCGCCTGCAATTGAGGGAACGCGTGAATATAAAAATATAAAAGAATAAATAAATACCTGATGGACGACGAACCTGAAGAGCAACAAACCGCGTGTTCTTGGAACTGGTTGATGCGGACGGGGTAATGAGGTCACCAACAGGAACGCGTACTGTGCCGACAAGAACATCACAAAACCAAGAAACATTGTATATCTCGACATTCACAGCTGCATTGTCCGAAAGCAGGAATTCATTTTCAACACGAAAAGCAAATTTATCATTCCATGTAGGGTTTGTCTGTCCCTTTTGGTCGGTCCTCGTGGTAAGTTTCCTGCCAGGATGAACCCATGTAACGGCGTAGGTGCGCATGGATTTGGAGATAGGAGCCAGGTCTTGGGCAGATATGAGGCTAATCTCGAGGAGGTGGAAAGGGGGAACTTGATAAGAAACTGTGGAGGTAGTCACGGCGGAGGGGGCTGTCGGGGTCTGAATAATTGATTCCATTTGCTCTCCCTTCATCGTCCGTGACATGGACAACGAATCAAGTATCGCCATCAATCAATGGAGGAAGAAGAGGGAGGGATAGTGTGTAGTGTGTGTTCTGTTTTGTTTTGTTTTGTCTTGTCTTGTCAAGGAAGAATGGTTGGGAGTTTTTAGGGGGTTGTTATTTTTGAGGTTTCTTGACCATTGTTTTTATTAAGTGACCTACCCAATTTAACCCTATTTCGTTAAGCTAAAAAATCGAGTCAAAATCAGCAATAAATATTAAACACAAATTCCATAGGACCAACAACTCTTAGGTGATTGATAGCTAAGTACTGCTATGAGGAAATGGTGAAAAGAACTCCCATCGAGGAGTGAAATAGAATATGAAACTATAAAAGCAGTTTTGGACGAAGGTTTCTCGATCAACAATCTTACTTTTTGAAGAAAGATGATAATATAAATTAGCGTCCATTTGATCCCTATTATTTGAAATTTTAATTGTCGTAATAGTATTTTTTGAAGAATGCATGATTAAAAAGGAAGAAAATTTTTTGGAGTTACGTATAATATTATTTTATTGGAGAACGTGTAATTGATAAGAGGAGAAAAAATAAATTATAATTTTAATGGGCAAACAATAGCTTAATTAGAAATGACTTAGCGTTATTTTTAAAATATCTTTATCCCTATATAGAAAGAGCAAATATTGATATGGAATTGGATAGGATTGTTACACTCTTATTAGTTATTACATCCGAAGTCCACGAATATCTCACAGGGATTAATCATATTTTAAGAATATGTTTGACATAATTTTTGAATAGTCAAAAGTAGCTTTTGAATTTTA